AGGATCCCGCCAGCAAACATACTGATCTGTGCCTCTTTCGGGATCCCTCAGGATCCCTCCAGCAAACATACTGATCTGTGCCTCTTTTGGGATCCTGCCAGTAAACATATTACTGAACTTGAAGTCCGCTCTCTCCCCCTTCCTTTGGTCTTTGTTTCAACATGATGACTTCTTCTGTTTTCCCCTGATCTTTCACCTTCCTTGTGGTTTTAGGTTTCAAGTTCCTCAAAGGGTGTTCCCTTAGAGGACATCATGCCACTGTGATGCTTTTTCTTTTATTTCATATTTTATAGAATTTCCCTCTGAACTTTGCCTACTTCTGAACTAAATTAAGCCAGAAAAGATGGAATGGGGTTCAGGAAACCCTGGCTCTTGTCTTTAGTTCTTCTGTGGACTAACTTTCCATCTCACTTGGAAGGTGGTGACAAGACTGGGAATCTCTCTCACTTGACCTTGACACCTCTCCATCCTCCCAACTCGCCTGGCTTTGTGATTTCCTCCAAGAAATGCTTGCCCATGATGATGTTAGGTGAAGAGACCCAAATCTATTTAGAGTTGGAGTTGGCAAGGTGAGTGCTGGGAAGAGACAGAAGGGTAAAGGGATGAAGTCACAAAATCATCACAGAACTCACAGGCCCAGGCTGGACATGGAGGCTGGAGAGACCAGGAAGAACGCAGAGGATTGGAAAAATAAAGCAGATAAGAGAAGAGAAGAGAAGAAAGACAGGGAAGGGAGGGAGGGAAGGGGCAGTGGGAAGGAAGGCTGGGGAAGAAGGACGTTTCTAATACCCAGCCTTGAGGGTCTCCACCCTCCTTATGTCAGTTATGCTGTGTGCTCACCTGGATCCACACTATGGAATACATTTTCATTCAGTTGCCCCAGGCATTTCTGGACAGAGAATGTCATCTTGCACTGCCTGTCTGACTCTGTTCTTCTGTACTGCCTCCATGTAACTAATAGATACATAATCAGACAAATTTTCTGATAACTGAGAAATAACCATTTTGAACTTAGGGCCTTCAGTTAGGGCTTTGCTAAGGTGGACTTTGTGGAGGTCATTGGAGGGGGCGACTTACTTTGGGCTACTTGTGCTTTCTTAAGACCTATGTTCAAATGATTTAAAATGGATCTGAGTACAGTTGGGAATGACATGGTCTTTCCAATGGAGACTTTTACCAAGAGCCCCGTACTACTTTCATTATCGTGTCCTGCTACTTTCCTGTTAGCGTCTGTTTATAAAGCAGTGATTTCTCCTCCTAACTGAGAAAAACGACTATTGTACAACAGTGTGGATGGTTAGTGTCTGTGTTTCCAGTTTATGGGGAATACACGCTGGTGATGGCCAACACGGCATTGAAAGTTGGGGTCATCTCAGGCAGTCTGGGCTCCTGGGTTATGAACAGCAGGACCTGCAGATAACTCTGGGGTAGGAAGGCTGAGAAACTATGTGCTAATTTTGTCTATTTGAATCAGGTCCCTGCAGATCAATTTTGTAACAATTAGCCTGTGTTCTAACTGGCCACATGCCTGATACACAGGACACATTTCCCCTGGTAAAAGAGCTCAGGTTCTTCTTACAGCGATATTAGATTCCAAATGCTTTAAAAAATTCTTTTAATTGTACCTTCTCTTTTTATTCACTTAGCACGTCTTAGGTTGTTAACAATGTGTTCTGATCATAATGCAAGCAAATATTATGCATAAATTTGGAGACTACACCCAGAGCAAGTCACTTACTTTTTCTTGTATTCAGTAAATGTGTTTTCTGAATAATCTGCACATAGTTCTTGTCCTTTGGCAATGAAAGAAGACAGTTCCTTCTCCAGCTGAGGGCCCTGTAAGAAAACAATGGTGTTTGTCTTGACATACTATCTTCAAAGGGTGTTGAATCAGAATGAGGTGTGTCGTATCAGTGTGAGTATTAGCTACACTGGGCGCTGGCAATGCTTCCTGCACGAGGATGGATGGTAAATATTTCAGACTTTGCCACGTAGGGTCTCTGTTGTAACTACTCCACTCTGCACAGGTGTAGTCGTAAATAACACGTAAAGAACAAGAAGGGTATTGCGTGGCCTTTTGGCAAGATCAAGGGAAGTGCGAGTGGTTGTGTTCCAGTGAAACTTTATGCATGAGCCCTGAAATGTGAATTTCATGTAATCTTCACATGTCATGAAATATTAATCTTCTTTTGATATTTCCCCCCGAAAAGTTAAAAAATGTAAGACCATTCCGCATTCTTAGCTTGAAGGCCATACATAAGTGGACAGTGAGCCAGGTTCAGCCCATCAACTGCAGTTTAAGTGGTTGACACATTTTAGCCCATTGTACCTTAGCTGTTAAACAGGTGGCAGGGTCTTCGAGATCACAGCATTCACCCAGGCTTTTCAGGGTCGGCTCGAGCACTTTACTGAGGAATACTTCTGGAACGTGAGTCCTTCTGCTTAGTTCAAATGTATACCTGGTAGGAAGGGGCAAAGAAGATGCTCTTCAGGTGTGTGCAGATGTGTGTGTGTGTTCCCTTTCTGGGAGGTGACATGTCTGTGGTAAAGGCAGACCTTCCGGCTCCACATCTGAAGTCAAGGGGAAACTGACCCCACACCCACCGGGTTTGGATTCAACAGTGTTTTCATTGAAATGCAGTTAATATTAGCTTTGAAGCTACTGTGACTAGTTAATGCTGAATTAAATCTCTGTGTGATGACTATTAATGTATATTATGTAAAAGCTTGTCTGCTTCAAATGAACTTGGAGCTATTCTTTGGGCCATATAACACAGTCGACCCTTTCTGAGCAACAGCTGGGCGCTTTAAAGGATTTGCTGTGGTAATAGGTTTGTGTAAACCATGGTGTCTTAGCCTGTGCTACTCATGCACTTATAAAAACAAGGAGTGTTTAGAAATTAAAGTGTCAGTCCCACCTCAATTCTGCTGCCTGATGTTGCTGATCAATATTCTAACCTCCTTCAGTCTATCTATGAAACATCTTCACGCCATGGGTGTGTGTATGCTCACAGTGCATGCAGCCCATGATATACTAATTTTAGTTCTTTCTTCAGTTAGATGAAATAAGAAAAAGGTTTGCCATTTCTTATTTAGTCTGTTTCTCATTTAGTGCAAAAGAGTAATCAATATAGCCAAGGAAAGTTATTCTGTCTGCTATTTTATTGGCACCAAATGTTTATTGTCCAAAAGTTTGGGATATGGATTGTTTCCTGTGGCTCAAGTGGCTAAGGCGCCAGCCATATACACCTAAGGTGGCAGGTTCGCATCCAGCCCAGGCCTGCCAAAAAACAATGATGGCTACAACCAAAAAAATAGCTGGGCGTTGTGGCAGGCGCCTGTGGTCCCAGCAACCTGGGAGGCTGAGGCAGGAGACTCGCTTGAGCCCAAGAGTTGGAGGTTGCTGTGAGCTGTGATGCCACAGTACTCTACCCAGGGGGACAGCTTGAGGCTCTATCTCAAACAACAACAACAACAACAACAAAAAGGTTGGGATAGTTTAGGCTTTTGATTTGTGACTTTGAACCAGACATAACAGAATAAAACTAGTTAATAACACGATGGCCATTCCTGGTGCCGTGATGTGTTTTACATGTGTAGCATTTTTGTGTATAGGAAGATGTTTCCATGTTCACTTTCACCTGCATTTCTACACGCGCTCCCCACTCGCAGCCTGTGTGCTAAGGAAGGAAGGTATTAACATTTTCAAATTAATAAGGGACTGAGGTTCAGGAAGGCCGAGTCACTTCTCTTGGTAATGCATCGTAATCACAAGAGGCAGAATTAGAAGCACTAAGCTTTTTCCATCTCCAAAAATCTTTGTACTGAAGTCAATTGTTCTTCATTTAAAATAAATTGTGGAGTTTAAAAACATTCAGTAACTTAAAATATTAACAAATACTTAAACCCATGAAAAACAGAAAAAGTACTCTGCCTGTGTTTAAAGTGGGTGACAGCATGCCTCCCCTCCATCTGGCCACATTTCTGTCCGGATGAACCTAAAATGTGACACATTCCACTCCACCTCTACTTACTGGTCCACGGCTTTAGTGTTCCCATGATCACACACGTCTCTACCCGTGGGCAGCTTAACATCCGGCAGCTCGGGTGGCTGTGCAGCTGGCATGAAGTAAGTGCACATGAAAACGTCCATGGGAGTCTTTTCTTGACAACAGTCCCCAAACTTAGAACTCTTGGTGGATAAGTGCTCACAGACTTTTACTGTGTGTTCAGGCAGCTACAGAAACAGGGAGTTTGTGCATTGTTAGTTTTCTGGTCGGTCTATGTAAAGATGAGGCTTATCAAGGCTGAAAAGCTTTGGCGTGTTGATAAAAGCCATCGTGAACACTCTTGGAAACTAAATTTGTATAATATTTGGGGAGACCATTCGTCAGCATGTACTAAAAGATGTAAAAATGTACAATGTAAGTTTTAAGAGTTTATGCTCAGGAAATAATTATAGATTAAGGGAAGATTTAAATACAAGGCTATTAAATGATGCATTGCTTAAAATATTGAAAACCTAAGTACTATAACAGAGGATCAGTTAATAAAAATACAGTATATCTAGATAGATACATATAACACGTGCAACAGATGTGTGTAAGACACTCCTATTTACCCACTGTGTATTATTATAGAACAACACCCATTAACACAGATAAAGGGACTGATACGATCTCAGGGACTGATCTTCATTTAATGCGATTATTCAAATTTGCATCTACTTGAAGGAATTATGCAAATTTAATACAGTAAAAACATGGAGATGACTATCAAATTATAAGAAATATAATAAAGGCATTAGTAACCTCCAATAGCACAATGGTTGCAGTGCTGATAGAACTTTATGTGATATCTTATCTGTACTGCCCATACTGCTGTCTCTTCAAAGTGTGGCCAGTGTGACTGAGATGTGAATTTTAAATCATATCCAATTTAAATTTAAACTTCATTCTAATTAATTATAACTGAATTTAACAGCTGTCAGTGGTTAATGGATACAGTGCTGGACAGCGCAGATGGAGTGAGGCCCAAGGAATCTGGTAATCTTGTCCTTACACGGGGACTCTGCCATTTACTGGTTGTGTGGTCTCAGATTATCAGCCCTTGCTTATCCTCAGTTTCCTCATCTGTACAATGGAGTGAAGAACATATTTGTATTTGTATTTCATCTTCCTAAGGAACCTATCTGGGGTTCCTTAGGAAGATGAAAAGCAGCTTAGGAGAGTGCCTGCCCTCAGCACCTGTCAGTGCTCAGTGTGCAGTGGTGACACGGTGATAGGGTCTGTCTTACCTCCTTGGCCATGCAGTCCTCGGAGGTGGATGGGCAGCATTTGGTGAGGATATTCGTGACATCTTCAGCTAGTGGCAAGACATCCTCCAGATCAGCAGTGGGCACTTTTTGGGCTAATTTTATGAGATGGCTAAATAGTTAAAATGAATTTGTTAGTTTATCTGCATTTCAGTTTTATTGGTTTCAGGATAAACATGCAGCCTGGAGGAATAAAATTAATTTCAACCCTCTGGCCTTCCAGCTGCATAGAACACATCTGACTCAAGGTCAACCGTGCCCACTAGATCTTTTCAAGTCTTCAGTACTCAAAAGCAGCTTCTCTTCTGGCCAGGTCTATGGAGTTAAAGCAAACACTTAAAATGTTAGATTTAATGAGCCGACAGTAAGAGCCCTAACCTCTGTCTATTCACAAGGCCAACGTTGTGTTTTTGTGGCCCCTCATAGTCTTATAAAATATCTATCTATCTATCTATCTATCTAGAGACAGAGTCTCACTTTATTGCCTTCAGTAGAGTACCATGGCGTCATACTGCTCACAGCAACCTCCAACTCCTGGGCTTTGGTGATTCTCTTGCCTCAGCCTCCTGAGTAGCTGGGACTACAGGCACCTGCCATAATGCCTGGCTATTTTTTTGCTGTAGTTTGGCTGGGGCCAGGTTTGAACCCGCTTTCATTACTTTCACTCATGAAAGTAATGATAGCCCTATTGCCTTAGGTCACAGAGTTAATAAGCATTGGGGTTTGTTACTGTAACCCTTAGGCATGTGGTAAGGTCACATGTGTGGGTGAGATCATGCCATGGTCCTCTCCTGCCTGTGAGGTCACATGTTGTGAGGTCACATGTGTGGGTGAGATTATGCCGTGGTCCTCTCCTGCCTGTGAG